GACTACCAAAAAAGCTATGAGCCCTCAAAGTTTGCTTGCTCAATGCATGGAGAGGTAGTGCCAATTGAAATGCATAGATGCCCGCAACGACCGCAAGGGTCGCGTGACGTAGTGCTCTCCACGTTCAGGAGAGCATCCCGGGTTTGCTTCCCGCTGCTGTGAAAACTTTTGCAAAGCGTGCTTTCCTCCCAATAAACGCCCTCATACCGTTTTTTGACACTGATTCAAGACAGCGCCTTGTTTATCATCATTCTATCAGTTACGATCATCGCAATTGTTCGAAATAATTTTTCTCCACGCATTTTCTCTACGCTCTTTTATTTCCACCATCAAAACAAACACTTGGATTGAACCGTCTTGTAACATATAAAGTCAACTTCTATAAGACAAACCAAAAAAACCTGCTGCGGAAAGTCTGTTTACAAACCTACGACTTATTTATGCTGCCTCTCTACAATCATACAGGAATGAGACGTCTCAAGACCAAACTTGGCTCATTGGGTTAGACCGAAATTGCGACATAACAAGTTACTAGACATTCGTCATTGCACTATTGACTAGATACGTTCAACTACGCCTTTTTCTTCCGCAAAGGTCGTATCACTACTTCTTTTTGAATTCGGATCACCTGAAGATCGCAGTGCCACATGCGAAGAGAGGGCGATAGCCGCGCGGTTAACCGCTATTCGTGACGGTGCTGCAGGGGTAGTTGATGCTAAATCGGATGGATGCGAAGCCTCTGGTCACCATCAGACGAGGAAAAAGGAAAGTGGAGCTCACTTTGGCGATAGCAGTGGCTTGTGAACAAGTACGTTGTGTGCTTTTTTTAATGTTTGTTATCGGTATAAAACTTATTGCCAATGGTAAATGGGTAGCGAAGACAATAGAACACAACCGAAGCTCGTCAAAAGGGCAAGGATGGGGAGCTGCTTCTAGATGAAGTAAGAAGGGAATTGGCAGCGGTTACAGGTGACCTGTTTTTGGTAAGTTTGTTACTAGTGGACATGTATTTTTGAGGTATCACATTGCATGCTGAGAGCCTACGTTTCTTGGCACTTACTTTGTTGGCAAAACTATATCGAGGGCTTCAGGCCAAGCGAATATTGGATGAAGTCCTTTGAACGTCGTTATGGAACTGTACCGAAGGTAACGGCGTTTGTGGCACGAAAGATTCACAGAAGATATAGAACTGAAAGCTCAAGAGTTCGTGAGTGGCGTGAAAAGGGTGAAAAGGAAAATGGGGAACAAGCCACTGTCTTGTTTCTGTAATGGCGACCAGTCATGGTTTATCACGGAAATGACGACGGGAAGGTCACTAGCACTAACAGGAGTAAAAAGGCGTGCCTGCAAGTGTGTAATGCGAGTGATAATGGCATATGTGGAGTAGTGTGGTTCAGTTTTTGATGCGCACGTAAAGTCAAAGTCTACAATATACCTCTCGGTGCCACAACATCGATAGAAGCTTTGTACGTCAATTTCTTTGGAACCATTAAAAACATTATGGAGCAGATCGAGACTTGCGCGATGGTGAACGATGTGGACTTCAATATTGCACAGCAAGATAATATACTCGAAGTTCTGCCACAAGTGTTTTCTCATACTTTTCGAGATAATCTTAATACAAGTCAGGAAAAATTTAAAAACAGGCTACAGGAAAACAAATACTCGCCAGGCTCGCTCCTCACGCCTGGCGAGTATTTGTTTGAACCGATCGAGTGTTTTTCCCATGGTTGTGGAACATCGTGTCGAAGTGCGCATTTTGTGAGCAACTATTTGCTTCACACATTTTTTGGATATTCATCAATGTTGAGTTTTTTATGCGTATCTGTTATAAGGTGATATCTCTTGTGTATGTATTATGTAATGGTCATGGAAATGGAGGAGACTCATGGAATCTATGTGAAGAAAGATTCTGCCCTATACAACAACAATAAGGGTCAAGGAAAGGCAAAACATAGAATGAAGATCACAATTGTATAAACCCACATTGCTCGTCTGAAGAGGGAAATCACTGCCACTGCGCTACGCGCCGTTGTGATCATACTTGGCAACTAACGAAAGCAATTCCAAGACTGTAAAATGCACCGCCCCCGTCATATCGGAGCATCCCATATGATTTGCCAACCTTGTGGCGCCTGTCTGCTCATTCTTTTCGGAGGGTCACTCCAGAGGTTCGGAATCGATCTCTTTTGAACGTCCTGGTCGTGGTTCACCATCGAGACTATAGTTTTCTTCGCGGAATTTCTTGAAATGAGGTTATCAGCGTTATTACCCCTTCTACTTCAGAGCATATATTCCGGAGAGCTTCTCTAGCTCAATGTCGCAAAGGGATTAGTAAACGAGAAAGTGGCGGAAACAGGTAAAAAAAGGTTTAATCTCAGCTTCGAAACCCGTTTACTTAAGGCTATGACGCATTATCCCTGCTGTTCATATGGTTCCAAAATAACCCGCTCTCTTATCGGTTTACCAAGTACTCTACTCTTTTACTATAACACTATAGGTATAACTATACTGCAATTACTCATTTCAAGAACTAATACGCTGTCTGTACTGTTAACGTTACATCTTCCGACGAAAGCTTCACGTGCTGTCACTTATGTGCTTTACCTCTCAGAAAAGAGATCTCGACTTGGTTCGCTTCTCTGAGGAATGAAGCTCTGAAAGCATCCCTCATGCATGCAACCTACGCGTCTTGCTGTAACTCTCGACGTGCTTCACGCTATTCCCAACATTTGAAGGCGCTCATGATGAAAGTGGTTTCTGAGATTTCCCCCTCGTACGAGCCTGTGACCCCGGAGAATAACACAAGGCACTGTGCGCTCAAAAAACGGCAAAGATAGTATGACATAAGGGCTCTGAACCAGCTTGACCGACGTATACACCTAAATGGGAGGAGTCTCGCAGCGCTGTGGAGGCTGTAGAGGTTGCACAATTCGCCCCGGCAACCCGAACGTTGCACGCAATCAACTTACTGTAGCCAGATGTAAGCAATGGTACAGTATTTGGATAGCTCGTCCAAATACTCCTTCCATGCAACCTTTGCCGTTGCAATCTCGCCCAACCCCTGATTTTGCTACTTTTATGGAGCTTCATATTTCCCTAAATATACTGATTATTTCTTCATTCTCATATAATTAACTTAGTATAATTATATATTGTACTCTTTATTATACAATATATTATACATTGTAGTGCATTATATAACAGCACAAAATACAATATATAATATATATATACAGTTCCTAGACCATGAGTTCCACCTTTCTTTTTCAACTGGATATATGAAATTGTCATAAACTGTGCCTTCGATGTGAATGATACAATTTTTTGTTTTTGTGATACTGTTAAATTGTTATTATTCCCTGCAATATCACAGTCGAACCGTTATCTTAGTTTCTCCATGTCACCGTAAACTTTACAGCTGAATTAACTGCATAAACCGCTGTGATTTTTTTGGTGGGGACGGACCTTTTCAATGACGGATGAATTGCGAGTACTGTTCATTTTTCCACTTACTTCCGAACAAGTCAGGCTGCGCACGCTAACCGCTTAGTCGTGAATCGCATACTCTTAGCCGCTCATCAGCGATCTTACTCAAGAAGATCATAGAAACATTTTTTATGCACTGTATACACGGTACTGCTTCATCCGAAAATCTATAATACTTAGTTTCCATTTCAGGAAATTAGGCATTCAGATTGAAGAAAAGGTGAAGGATTCTCTTAGAAACGTTGCTAACATAAATATTCACATTGAAAGTTCCGCTTGAACTAATTCACAGGGCATTGCGCATCAGAGATGTAGTGGGAAAGAGCTAGCAAGATGGTTGATGATGCCTCATGCGAAGGCTCCTTCTAAAGGCTTTATGTTTGATCAATATGCGATTGAAGTAAACCAAATAAGGTCGATCCTGAGGCAAAGAAGGAGGAAAATCATGATTGTTGGGCAACGACGCCACAAGTTGATGTGGTTAGGGAACCAGTGAACAGTGTGAGTAGACCTACTATTTCATTGCGCCTTTCTCACCGCGTCCACGTGACTTTTTACACCCCTCATTTACCTACACTACTGGCCGTAAGATCTCGAACGCTAGCAAGAATATAGCGAACTGCTCCAGGGTACGCGTTTTCCGCACAATTCGGCTCGGAGTGAAGTATTACGAGACCTAAAGATACCGTTAAAACCAGATTGTTTAGCTTCATCAAGAGGTCTTCTAAATTTCGGAAAAGCACAACTTTGAAATGTGCCATGAACTCAAGTTCCATCTCAACTGCTAATTGAATTGCACGCGGCACACACGACATCGCTTATGCAATCTAACGAGCAACCAAGTATAAATCGCTTCAAACACTTGCTGGAGTGCACCACACACTCGCCTCCATCAAATGCATTTCCCTTCTTCAGTGTGTGGCCTGAAAGTTGAGGCAAAACACAACAGCTCAATGGAAAGACAATGGAAACACAATGAAAAGAACAATGGAAAACAATTTGGTACGAATTACAAGCTTCCTTATCCGTTAATTCTGAAATGAAGGTTATGAGAGTTAAGACCAGTACGAAAAAGACCACATAGCAGTGTACAAGCACGGTCTACAAACAAAAAAACAAACAACACAGAAAAATATGTTTAAAAATTTCGAGCAAGTCCTCATTTGCTTCTGTGGCCCTGTGGTTGGCGAAGATGACTGTGTTCTTCCAGCGCTATGCCGTTTTCTGCTTTTCAAAGTGATTTTGACGGCTTGCCATACTGCTTTTCTGGAGCTATGAGGTACGTGAAAGTAATCGTAGATGACCTAGGATTTGATCATTTGTAAGAAACCTTCTTATTTACATGTAGACAACAAGTACATCTCCATAAATTGACCCTTGATGCGGCTGCTTTCCTTGTCTCCACGTGTGAAACAAGTTTGGTATGATTATTTTCGTAGTTGCCCCTCCAGCGCAAGCGCAAACTTTAATCGGGAGCCAACAAATAGAAATTGATGCCATCACCTAGATTTTTACATTTCTAATTCAATAAGTTCTGCCAATGCTACTAGCGATGCTATCGGAGAAATTTCCTGGATCTTTTTTCCTTTATCGTACCCCACTCCTTCTACTGAATGCTCCAAATCATTGAGTCGCCTTTCGAAGTGTGAGAAGGATCCAATATTTTTCAGCTTGAAAGAACACAATGTTGCTCCGAGCGTCTTCCTCATGGTGATGATGAACTGGACCACTTTATTCAATAAGGCGTCCATTTTGTTAACTGCCTCTAATACACGGTCGTTACTCATTGCATTGCCACCAGTGGTATCTTCTGTGGTATCTTCTATTGGAACACTTTCCTCCGCTGTGGTGAAGAAAGTATCATTCATTAGCACACTCCTGAGTCAAACCCTTTATTTTGTTTTCACATAGGTCCTTCCCACTAACGTACAGGATCTTCAAGATGAATCCACAAAGTACAGAATCGGTATCACAAACAGAATTGCAGAAATTGTTACAACTTTAGCATGAGCCAGACTTCATAATAACTTCTCACCCTATCTTGATTATTTCGACGCACTTTGCTGCCGTCAAAATCACAGTTATCACAAATTGCTGCGAGCCTAAGAACATCAACGCTTTCTGACGTGGTTAAAATTGACCGCATGCAAACAAATAAAAAGAGCACGGTCAAATTGCAAACGGACAACGTCGAAGTCTAAAAAGGATTGATGAACCCACATTAAGAGAATAAGAACTAAGAGGTCTGTCCAAAAGATCCATGAATCGCAATGAACCTACAAGAAGAGGTTCAAAACCAAATTTCGACCAATGAACAGGCTGCTCACCCTGTTACACTTAAGCTAGATTTGATTTCGCAGAAGCCACTATGCTCTGATAAGGGTGCGACACCTGAAATGAATGGACATTTGTATCGCATGAACTATGATGCGTACTAGCCTTTTTACAAAACGCTGGTGGATAATCAGCTCACTAGCCACGACTATACTGTTGTTGAACCAATTTTCTAATAGCGACCAAAAAAGGAACATGGTGAGTTATTAACTTCGTTAGACTGCCATAAATGAAAAGAAAGGATGAAAAAATGAAAATGGATACATACCAGTCCTAGATATTCTCAAGCATTACTACATGCATTACAGAAACATTAGAAAATCAGCGAAAGCAAAGATGCTGTTCAAAGTCATCGACTAGAGCGAATCGTCGAAATCGCCTCGAGAACACATGTTTAGGTGTCGGTCGAATGCGAAACATTGTGAAATCAACGGAGAGGAAAGAATTTCATCGAACACGTAGGTTACGCTCCAGACCAAGATCAGTTTTTTGGAGCGTCGCTAACGGGTAAAGCGGCGTTCACAGCTTGCGACGTAACATAGGCAATCAGGAGAATACGGTGAAGTAGCAGTATGCATATGTCGATAAAATGATAGGACGATAGGGTGATTAGGCAGACCGGGGGATATGCTGAGAGGAAAGTACAGAAATCGAACGGATCGACTCCGCCCAATGAGCGCCGTCAACGTTTGGGCAATTTGCCAAATGCGAGAATTAGCCAGTTAGACGCTCTATCGCCTAATCACCGGATCGCCTTAATCAGGTGCTTCGTTGCTGCCTGACGCTATAGCGTTACTGGCGTTCTCGTGATCGATACCCATGAAATAGGGGAGGTTGATTTTGAAGGTTCTAATTCTCCGAAAGGCAGGATAGTTGGCGACCCCCCAGCCAGGGGTTGGCTAGATAAGCATATCACATTTGAACGCGAGAAAGTGGGAGCCCAGCCTCTCAAAATGCATTCCTTTATTTTTCCGCCATCCAAAGAACTAAATCTTTTACAGACGAGATTTCGTCTACCACTGGATGCCTCGAACCGGCGCGAGACGATCCAGTTTATATTGTGCTACTCCTACTCCTACTTCTCTTTTTAGTACAATGTGGCTCGGGATGCGCGAGCATTCACTGGCAGCCGTTCTCCAAGTTGCACACTCCAACTCCTCATATAAATTTTTGCGCCATGTGATGATGAGTCATCCGTTCCGTGACTCCCTACGCCCGTGTTTCATCGATGGCTGTCGTGACCTCTTCGCGCACTGTCTTCCATTGCGGCCATCGCACTACATCGCACGCGCAAAGTCTCTCCAACGCCTATTGGAAGGTCGTCAGAGTTCCGCACCGGGTCCCACCGCGCAATTACACCGCAGCCCTTTGCCTGCATATCGGCGGAAAAAAATGGATGATCTAAAAAGAATATATCGTCAGTCAGTCTCGACTTATACACGCGCATGATTCCGCTGGAGCCCTGCATGGTCCCCCATCTTCGACATTCCCTCGCTAACCCCAAGTTATTCGTGCGCAGTCCCGACGTCAGTTTTTCCTATTAACTTTTTTACGGAATTGGACGATCACAGGATATGTGCAGTTTCTATCAAGGACCAGCAACCTAGGAGGATTATTCCGCACAACCAAGGGTGAGCTTTATAATTCTGATGGTGAAGATGTCCCACTTATCCCTCCGCGCAGCTATCCATTCCTCGGACAGCCCCTGGTGCGCGGCCCGTGGAAGGTATCGCAGCTCCGATGCGATCGGAACTTTAGAATTGGGGTCACATGATGGCAATGAAAGAGCGAGCTTATCCCCAGATCTACAGTGAGCTCTTGTTGCCTCTCAATGATGGGAATTGAGGTTATTTCCAGCAGAATCTAAAAAACTCATAAACTATATAAATATGACCAACCCTCAGTTGCNCCTCAGATGTTTTACACCATAATCCCTCAGCACCCTGCCTGCGAGACGCTGCATCGTTTCTCTGTGCACCCATCATTTTCTATACACCCCTCGAACTTGCTCATCTTCTTCCCAGCTCTCTTCTGACCCAGAGTTTCACTTCGTCATGTCTATAGCCTTTGTTAGGTCAGGTATATGTCACTATGTTTATTTACCCAAGTTTGAGGTGAAATAAATTTCTGCTACTGGTGGTATTCGTATTTCTCCGGCTGGCAACCGACTTCCATTTTGTGGTGCATGGCCCGATATTAACGGATTTGGACCACAAACATTTGGACACCGGTACGCCTTTCATTATTCGTCCTATTAAGTATTCTCCTTTGGATATTGCGCCGATTTCGACCAGCGAAACATATCCACTACTTTACATTTGCTCGATTTGTTTTTCATACCTTTCGCTCTTCGGACCTGTTCTAGTGAAATATCCAGAGTGCATTTTGGTAATAAGGATTTCTTTTTTTCTTCTTTCTCATCTTTCATTTCTCATTTCCTTGCGCCCTTCTTCCTCATTCAATATGGATGGCCCAAAAAAGGTCTTTTAACACGTCATTGTAACAACGAAAGCTCTTTGCTAAACACCTATATAGAATACAAACAGTCTATCGAAGGTCCGCATCAGGTGTCAGCTAGTAATTTACGAATTAAAGAATTGGACTTGCAACTCTATTCAACTTCCCAACTTGTATCGTAGGCCTTGTTTGATTTTACAACTACCATTGACTCATTGGCGGATAGTCTCACGCCCGAGCATCAGCAGCAGGCAGATGTTTATATTGAAAAAGCAGAGGCAGCCATCGATAAAGCGCGTCACGTTCACGCAAAAGTCTAGTCCTTCGCATGTCGTTTCAATAACTGCGAGTTGGCCGTTTGCATGCCATTTCAGTACTACCTTGTGATCATGCAGCGTGACTTCGGGCGGAAATCGTATAATTTGAGGAGTTCCATCGGAGTGTTCCATCTTGCAGGTCATGTCGTCGCAAACCTCAAATGCTAGCGGTGTGCGAACGTTGATTGCTGGGTTTGCACTTCCACCTTCCTCAATCCTGAATGTCGGCCTCACGAAGCAATTTTTGTGCTCGTCCTTACACTCTATGACTCTTTTGGATTCTTGGTCTCATTTACGCGCTGCTATATGTGCCGGTAGTAATTGGAAAGCCACTACGCCTTCTGTTAGCAGGAGCAGTGTCACTAGTTAGGTACCTGGTATGTGCTGTTCGTCAGCTCTTACTTAACTAAAGCAAAAATCCCGAATAAAATCTAAATCCTTTCTCAACGCTCGTTTAACAGCAGCACTTGCAATAATAGCGTATGGTAGAACCGGCATTCTCATGTCAACAAGTTAGTTCACTAGAGCACCATGCTACGGTTTGCACCAACAGGAATTGCAAAGAACTTTGCTCAGTTAGACTGACCGAAGTATTGAAACTGAACACCTTCACCCAACACGCTTGTTTACGCCTGGTCAGAAACTCTACTCTAGTGGCCAATGCTAAAATTAGATGGATAGGCTTGTTCCGACGGCTCGGTGGTAGAATGCTCGATAGGATATTTATTTCAATATTTATTGGGTCAACAAGTCGTAAATACAATTCGTACCATTACAAAGTCAAAC